ACTCTTGATTGGAGAATAAAAATAGCATTTTTATAAAACTTACAAAAAAAAACAGGTAAAAGAAACTAAATTTCGTGCATCCACAATTGCAAAAAAACGTTTTAGGTTTCAACAGACAACAAAACTAACTGTCAACTAATTGACGTTTAACCTTATTCTGCTTTTAATTTCAAAAATATTTGCAGGCACAGCCTACTTCTAAAATTATCGAGATACTAACTTTTTAACGTTATTTTATCATAAATAATTAAACGAAAACTCACAGGAGAGCTTTTTTATGTTGAAAAGTGCAAAGAATCAGTTTTTTTGTTCAAAAAGCAAAAAATTGCACTAAGAAAACCTTTTCGGTCATTTTAATACACTACAGGTACAGTAGAGAGTGCCCTCTAGCGGCTACAGTAAAACTATGACCATGGTCCGTTTTGTCGGACTAAAAAACCCTTGTATACCAATTTTCACTGTTATACATCAAATATTGTTCGAAATATTTCAAAAAAATTATTTTAGAAAGTAAATTTAAACACCATGTATTTCGGAAGCCCCGCATTTTTCGATCCATGTTTATATAGACTTTATGCATTAATTTTAAAAGTTCTATCGAATCTCAAAGTTATGCAACAATAAACTGAAACACCCTGTATATGCGTATAGCTACATCGACACGAAATGAAAGATAAGTAGTAAATGCATCTGCGAGGATCTGTTTTTTTTGTCATGGGTACAAATACCATTTTTTTATTTGGTTCCTTGAGATGATATAAATGAGCAAACGAATTTTGGGAATTCCATCCCTAAAGAAGTGGACTTAACGCTTCTGAAGCTGAGGAACCTAGAATGCTTAAAGCTAACTTTATCTTTAAAATAACGGCGTTACCAGAGACGTTCAGAAATATCCTTAACATGGAGCACAAGGGGTGGAAAAAACTGTCACTTTTCAAGAAATGTTTATATTGAAAACCATCGTTCGATGTGTGAAATTGATGGATTTCTTGATGAATAGATCTCCACAAAATCAGTTTAAATTTATTCTTGTCGATCAGCAACATGGTTTTCGTCAGTGTAAGTCAAGTTTTATCGACATAGTGTTATACAGCATCTAGTCTCCAAGTTATAACCTACAGATCAACCAATTAGGGCGTGTGCAGAAACATTTATTGCAAATCTGTGGATATAAGCTGGGTTTCATTGCACAAAATTCGTCATGGTCTCCAACTGTAAGCAAAATTTCACTTAATGTGAATGATAGGAGAGCTTATGCTTTCTTTGTCCCCTCATCAAACCAAGTATGGTTTAAATGACCCCCTAGCTCGTCTTCTTAGGTTAGGAATATATATACAGCGTGGCCCAACCCTGCGTGGACGGAATATTACTTATAAACAAATACATTTTGAGAAAATCCATTTATGGGATGTTATACATGACATTTGAGGGCGCATTTTTTTAAAATATTGGCAATTTTACAGGGTGTCCCAATTTTGACCAACATATCAAAGTTGTGATTTTTCAAATGGAATGCCTCAAGTTTTATTGCATATTCGGATATACCAATTCAAAGGAAGAAAATTGATATGACATACTATGGGATTTTGGTAATTAGCTACTGAGATATGAGGTGTTTTGTCTAGAAAGGCCCTCCACTTCGGCAAGCCCTCAGTCCGCCATTTTGAAATTTGCAGTGCTGAATTTTATATAAAAAAAAACCTGCACACCTCAGCTTTTATCTTATTTGTTACCTTTTCGAATTTTCCTTTTTGATCATACAGGGTGGTCAAAAATGTAAATTGTAGTTTTTCTCAAAAATGTTAAATGCATCACCCTGTATATTTTCACAAGTCTAGATTAAATTTTGTATAAGCTGTTTTTTGATACTAGATACATAAGGATTTTTACGGCTATCTTTTCGGTTATAAGCACGCCTTTTATGGAACGGCTTGATTCCCTAAAATATCGCATCATCCTTCAAAGCAAATAAATTGTTGATTAGTTACAAAATGTCAAAATTAGATTTGTGAGCATTATATTAAAAACTGATACATGCAGAACCTCTATCCAAAGAATTATTCACAAGCATCGGTACCATACATATCAGTTTAGTAGTTTAGTAGAATAATGCTAAATAAAGTGAGTGAAGGCACAGTTTTTCTCTATTACGCTTGAAGCTGATTTATACTGTCCTGATTGTTATTAGTTTTTACGTCAAATCTGTACTCTTAGTGACAATATGGAACTAGCCCACTGTTTGACTTTTGTTTCCATGGATGATGTGATTTTTTTCCTTAATTTTGGTTGTTCTATTAAAAACTTAATAACTCAATATCTAGTGATTTTATCTGAATTAAACGTTATATCAAAAAAAAACTTATGAAAAATGGAATCCAAACTTGCACAAATATACAGGGTGATGCATTCGCAATTTTTGAGAAAAAGTACAATTTGCGTTTTTGACCACCCTGTATGAGCAAAAATGAAAATTCGAAAAAATAACAATCAAGATAAAAGCTGAGGTGTGTAAGTTTTTATAGTACAAACTTCTGCACTCCAAATTTCAAAATGTCGGATTGAGGGCTTGCCGAAGTGGGGGGTTCTCGTAGACAAAACACCTCATATCTCAGTAGCTAATTACCAAAACCCCATAGTGTGTCATATCAATTTTCTTCCTTTGAATTGGTATATCCGAAATTGGGACACCCTGTATAATTGCCAATATTTTAGAAATGTGCCCTCAAATGTAATGTATTACATTCCGTAAATAGATTTTCTCAAAATGTATTCGTTAATGAGTAATATTCCGTCCACGCATGGATGGGCCACCCTGTATATCTAAATTGTACTTCATAAATTCTTAATTTAATCAGAATATGACTAATTATCTTAGAAACACTTCAATGGCTTCTAGAAAAAGATGCTGATACGCCATAATTTCGGCAAAAAAAAACAACTACAGTGGACAGATCATCAAAGGATCAAACAATCAAAAAAATGCATGTTAGCCCATTGTTGAAATAACAAGGAAATTAAACGATAATACACCAACAGATACTCCATAAGATCCAAACGAATATAATCTCTTCCGTATAGCTGCTGAAAAACTACTAGGAAAGCTATCTCAAGGTGTATCGCACCCTGAATGGAATGTAAGGATCTCGGTCATTCAATTTAAAAAAATATCATTTAATCTAGTTACAGATTGTATAAGTTCGTTGAAAAACATTCGAAATATATCTATATACTTGATTAAAAAAAATTATACATTTGATCGTAGAATCCTTGACAGAGTTGATAAATCTAGTGACCGACAACAACATATTTCCGGACTGCTTGAAACGAGTTGTAACTCCCATTTACAAACACGGCGATACAGAGGATGTAACCAATTACCGACCGATATTACTGCTACCCATTCTTAGTAAAATTTCTAGTACAAATAGTATCTTATCTTGGAGACAATAATTAATCTGTTCTTTTTAAATCAATTTGCTTTCGGGAAACAGAAAAATTCTACTATGGATATTTTGAAGACACAATTGGCGTTTTCGAAGACAAAGAATACCATGTTCTGTGACTTTCGCGTGATATATGTTACTGCTCGGAAAGCTCAAAGAATACAACTTTACCTCATGTTCTTTAATGCAATCTTACTAATTGTAAAAATTCGAAAAAAAATTGATCGAGTACGGTTTACCTCAAGGATTAGTTCTGGGACCTGTGCTGTTTCTCTTGTTCAGCAATGACCTACCTTGTAACAATGAAGGTAACTACATCGTTTTTGCAGCACGAACTCAGTGAAAAGTAATTGCATTTCTGAGCTGTCTGAGGAGGCTGAAACTATGCAATCGTACGCCAAACGATGGCTTGATGAGAATAGGCTAACCATAAATCCTTCCAAAGCAATGCACACGATTTTCATTTCCAAAGAAAAATTTTTAGGGGTACATATCGATGAAGGAATAAAATGGGACAAGCATACTGATACGACATCCAAACGACATAGACAAAATATTTGCTACTCAGAAGCTTATACTCGTAATGGATTAAAGTTGGTATATTTCGGTGTATGTCATACTCTTATTTCTCATGCCATTTTGGCATGAAGGTGAGGCTTACACTGGCAGCGTCTATTCTCCCTACAGAGACATGCACTTCGTGTAGTGTGTTCTTTAGAGCTCCATAGACATGAGGATACTCACATTGCGTTCAATATACAGGGTGTTTTCAAAATTGAGTCGAATCCACAACTCTCTACAAGCTTCGTAGAATATCAAAGAAATCTGTGGAATAACATTCTTATTTTTTGTATTGTTTTTTTACTATTTTTTGTATTATGCAACTTTTATATAGGTAATTTTTGGTATATCAACTCCTCCTACAAGCAGTTAAAATAACTGACTCAACTTTGAAAACAATACATATACGAGGTATTAATGTGTCTGAACACCGACGAAAACACTTAATACAACGACTACGACACTAGAAGTACCGGTACCTTCAATATTTCACTTTTTAGGCTGACTATAGGCCAAATAAGTATAAGATATATAGATCCAAAATAGCTTAACAAACTTATGTTAAGTATCAGATCTTTAAATTTGAATGCTCACAACAAATCACAAATGTTCTTACTCATACAATGAGCTTTTGGATTCTAAATTTTTTCATTCTGACTTTTTTCGCAATATTTTATCTGCACTTTAAATATCATTTCGTATGTGTTTGCAATTTATAACTATAATCTTGTGACTTGTGCAAATACAATCCTTTTGAAGGATTTTATCCACGAACTCGAGAGTATCAGCTAATAACTTATTATGGTATTCATGAACATGAGAGAGGACTTGCTGAATAAAAAGGGTGAGCCTCATGCATTGCCGACTCACCGGTCATCGTAGACGAACCCGGCATCCAGCGTGTTATAGTAAACCAGAAAGGCTAACAGACAACATCCCCAGATGACATAATCCATTGTCGATCGTCGAATCATTCAGAACGAAGACACTGCATTTTCAACTGTTACCAGCAACCGAGACTTGTTGCATCCTGTCACCTCCCGCACCAGCGATTGTCCTTTGTTCTCTCGCCGCCCAATTCGGATCGCTCAGAGCTTCGAGTCGCGTTAAGAGACGTCCGGAGGAGCCGTGATAGAGCTTTGAGCGGATGTGTGAGTGACTGTGGTGTTTCGACGAGTATCCCGCGGCAAACGCGGCGGTCATGCCCTTGCTTCAAACATCGCGCTAGAACTGAACGTGGTCGGCATCCCTCCGACTCTGAAATCGACCCTTCGCGTCTGTTATACACGCCTCGAGGTGGCGCACGCAGCCGTTCTGCCTTGTCTCCCACCCCCGCGATATATACTACAGGTGGGATAACAAACAACAATGGGATAGATCTTGAAGAAGGCCGATAGCTTGTAGACAAACGTGAGCATCGAGCTATATCAAGATAGGCATCAGCTAGAGCTTGTGTACTCATTGTCGCACGATCTTCGTGCTTTACTGCAGGTGGGAGAGGCACCAGAGATCACCGATAGCTTGAAGACAATCGTCAGCGCAGTGATTTCAGGCTAGGAGGGGTAAAATGGAAAGTAAATTCTCAGTCTAACGTACTGAAGTGTTATAATGATTTAACATTAAAAGCATGGACATATGCAGACATATGAATTTGTTACAGTAATTTCTGTAGGAAGTATATATACTAAGTGACATATAAATCCGAACACCCAGTTTAAATGGTTTTATTTTAATAAAAGTTGGTGAATGTATTCATCTTACTGTAAATAACAAGTGAAAAAATGTTCAGCCTTATCAGTTGGACATTCCGGTTTTTATACTGCTTCTTTTTAATTCACTAACGCTCTAAAAATGACTATTTCAGCCGCAGTAAAGAATCAACGTTGGTGGATTCTGGTTCTTGACATCCTTTACGATCGGTTACGATGCCTAGAGTACGGAAACCTGTACGATTTCGTCAACTTAGTGAGTTTGATAGGGGCCGTATAGTGGGACTTCGGGAAGCTGGACTTTCTTTTCGGGCAATTGCAGTTAGAGTGCAAAGAAGTGTAGACACTGTGGTTAGGTGTTGTCAGGCATGGCTTCGAGAAGCCCGTACGCAAAGAGCACGGGGCACTGGACGCCGCCGTAGAACAACAGACCGTGAAGATCGCCGCCTAAGATTATTGGCCTTAAGGGACCGTTTCTCCACTACCAGGTCCATTACAAATGAATGGTTTGCAGAACACGGAAGACCTATTGGCATGCGAAGTGTTTACCGACGAATGGGAAGTTTTGGCTTATTTTCATACCGGCCACACTGGGTCCTCCCTTTAACTCGAGAACACCGACGTAATCGCCTTGAGTGGTGCAGACAACGGTCACTCTGGGATCAGGAATGGAACAGTATTGTCTCTGGTGACGAGTCTCGATTTTGTTTAGTCATGCACGATGGTCGTGCCAGGGTTAGAAGGCGACGTGGTGAAAGGAGGAATCCACAGTTTTTTGTTGAAAGACATGTTCATCATACTGTTGGAGTTATGGTTTGGGGTGCTATAGCGTATGGTTCCAGGTCACCTTTAATCTTCATCAGAGGTAACATGAACGCGCAGCGTTATATCCACGAAGTTCTACAACCCCATCTTTTACCCTATCTTGACACCCTGGCAGATCCAACTTTCATACATAATGATGTCACATTGTTACCATGGCCACCAAGATCTCCCGACTTATCCCCAATTGAGCACGTGTGGGATATGATGGGTCGGAGATTGCTCAATTTGCAACGTCCTCCTCAGACTCTAGAAGCACTTCGAGAGGAGTTGGTGGTTGCCTGGAATGAGATACCACAGGAGGACATTGACCACCTGATCAGAAGCATGCCTAGGCGCGTTGGAGAATGCGTAGCACATCAGGGTGCATCCACACATCATTAAAGGTCAAAGGGCTTTAAAGCAGTGCAATCATTTTAAAATTTTTATCATTTACTTATTATGCTTCATTAAGTACTTATACAAAATTTTATTAAAATAAAACCATTTAAACTGGGTATTCGGATTTATATGTCCCTTAGTATACATTGACATTGCGAAACATCAACTATTTCAAGCAAGTATCCAAAAGCGTCTCTATCACGAAGAAGTGCTGGAAAAACGTCATCACATTTTGGCTATTAATCAACAGTTATCCGTAACCGTCTACAGGTGGTATAGCGATACGAACGCGTCTTCTTGATATTCCGTTCCGTCTGAATGCGGGCAATGGCGGTGTCAGGAAGCTATCTGCTATTTGGACGGGTGATGCTCGAGCAGTTGCAATGGCGACGAGGCAGCTGCAGTGACTGTCATGCAATCTGATTGTATCGCAAGGTGTGAAAACGTATTTCAACCGATTTAACTGCGAGACGGTGTATCGTGCTTGACGTGGATATGTTTGAATGTGCTGCTCCGTTGGGATGCGCATTAATGTTTGCAGGATGTACCGGGTGTCATGGCATAGCGTACTAGATTTTATTCGTATGTCTTTTAGAACGAAATAACCGCTAAAGTATTAAAATCGATGTACCTAATAGCTCTCATAGTTCACACAGTTATTTATTTATTTATTTATTTGAGAGAATTTCGGGATGTCAAACAGAGAAATTTTCCAAAAAAAGACATCCACAACATAGCTTACAAAGAATACCAAGTTACAAGCACTGTTATAAAACGATATAAATGCATGTGAAACAACGGGGGTGTCACCAACCCTAAAATCTTAAATGGAAAGGGGGGTCGAGTGATACCTTATTTTAAAGGTCTTTCAATTCCCTGTATAATGATGTAAAATACATGAGCTTCAGTTCAGTAGTTTTGAAGATTTATTGATTTAAAGCTTCAAGTAGACTTTAATAGGTACATCAGATTAGTTTGTACTACTTTCAGAAGAAATTTGACTAAAAGAATTTACTTAATAAGTAAATGCATTTCTTCACTACGCCTATGGTTTTTTTGGTAAAAAAGTTATTTCTTGAAGAAAGATAAGGAAATATCTCGTAGTTATTTTAAATAGGAATCTAGTACATAGTTTTGCGATTGATTTGATACCTCTAGGCGTTTCTGCGATCCTGATACAGATGTACGAGTTTCTGAAAATCGCACTGTTGACCAGACTTTCCTCATAAAATTGGTGAACATCGAGTTGTTATCAGCATTACAGAAACGCGAGAAGGTATGTGAATTTTACTCTGCTTATGCCATGATCTTGGCGCGAAATGTTTATTTTTGGCACCTATGCTCCTAGCCTTTTCTGCAATCCTGATACAGATCTACATGTTTATGAATATCTCACTGTCGACCATAGTTTCTTCGTAGAATTGGTAGATTGTTATTAGCTTTACATAAACGCGAGGAGGTATGCAAATGTCACTCTGCTACTGCTATAAGATGAGCACAAAACTCAAATCCATGACATCAATACCACTTGCCGTCTGTATGATTCTGATACAGACCTATAAGTTTCTGAAAATCGCACTGTTGACCAGACTTTTCTCATCAAATTGGTGAACGTCGAGTTGTTATCAGCATCACAGAAACGCGAGAAGGTATGTGAATTGTAACCTGCTTATGCTGTGATCTTGGCGCGAAATTTTTATCACTGGCACCCATGCTCCTAGCCTTTTCTGCAATCTTGATACAGATCTACATTTTTCTGAATAACGCACTGTGGACCACAGCTTCTTCGTAGAATTGGTAGATTGGAGAATTGTTATTAGGTTTACAGAAACGCGAGGAGGTATGCAAATACCACTATGCTCCTGCTATGAGATAAGCACGAAATTCAAATCTATGGCATCAACACCTCTTTCCGTTCCTGCGATCCTGATACAGATGTATAAGTTTCTGAAAATCGCACTGTTAACCAGACTTTTCTCGTAAAATTGGTGAACGTCGAGTTTTTATCCAGTACTTGAAAACTAAGCCTATTCCTTAACGTCGAATGTCATTGTTTTCAACAGCGTAGGAGTATCCTTAATACTTCGTCGGATATTTTAACTGAAAAATAACGTTATCAGCTTATTTTTTTTGTCCAACAATTTTTATGGATTTTTTCTTCAATCGTAGCTTCTTAACAAATAATAGTACATCTTTAAAATTGTATGTGAATATTCCACTTTTACGGAATCAAATATTTTTCGAAGAGAAAAGGTGATAATGAATGAAAATCTTAATTTTTTCCTTTCCATTCTATAAACTATTCTCAGTTAAAAGCCAGCGCGGAGCTCCGTACAGTTAGCATCTCATTCTGATGGAAGTATGCTCTTGAGAGAACGCGTCGGAATTAGATCACAATCTGAAAGCTATCCACATACGCGTCACATTAATGCACTCCGCCGGAATTAATTCTGACTGTCACATGCAATAATTAGAATCGATCATTGCATATCGAGTTGAAGCCTGTGCCAAGTTGTACACACTAGGCAACAATACAATTCTCTCGAGAAATTAGGGGATGTGCCCGGTGTTTAGTATTTCTTTATATATATAACCCCTGAAAAATTTTCAGGAGCTTCGAAGCTCTCGTTAGAGAAAAATCATAATTTTAGAAATATCGATCATTGCATATCGAGTTGAAGCCTGTGCCAAGTTGTACACACTAGGCAACAATACAATTCTCTCGAGAAATTAGGGGATGTGCCCGGTGTTTAGTATTTCTTTATATATATAACCCCTGAAAAATTTTCAGGAGCTTCCAAGCTCTCGTTAGAGAAAAATCATAATTTTAGAAATATCGTGGTATGGCAATGTTATCAATATTCTCACAATTTTCAAAAGCTTCTAGATTATTACAATTTCCAGGATTTTCAATGATTTCAATGTCATCAGGTTTCAATATTCTCAAAATGAACACAAAAAATATATCCAAAACTTTTCAAAATGCTCAAGATCTCCAATATTCATAATTTTCAATCACTTCAAATTAACTTTCTCGAAATTTTAAGACTTTTGATTTTTAAAATCTCGATTTTCAACACTTAAAATTTTCCATATTTTGAAAATTTTCAAAATTTTTAAAATTTTTGATATTTTCCATATTTTAAAAATTTTCAAAATTTTAAAAATTTTCAATATTTTCAAAAATTTTTCAACTTTCTCGAAATTTTATGACCTTTGTTTTTTAAAATCTCGATTTTCAACACTCGAAACTTTCAAAATTTTCAATATTTTCAAAATTTCCAATATTTC